TAAGTTTTGAAATCAAGAAATGTCAGCCTTCCAACTTTGTCTTTTTTCAAGACTATTTTGGCTGTTTGGGGCACCTTGCAATTCCATATAATTTGAGGAGCGACTTTTCCATTTCTGCCAAAAAGGCTGTTGGAATTTTAGTAGAGATTGCGTTGAATCACATTTTCTGTGGTCTCTCTTGATTCAGCGAACCAAGTTCATGAGATGTTAGGAATTTGAGCATTAAAGGAAGGGGAAAGTTTAGGTGTGTAGAAGAAGGTCATGAAATAAAATGAATATCAGGAAATTAGGAGGAAATACAATGTACAGTCTCTGGATAGTACAGCTAGGAGGGACCTTTGAAACAACTAGACATCATGTGAAGTAGTTCAGCAAATATGAAATGGGTAATCTAGTGGCTGGTGCTCAGTCTTTGGAGTAACACAGATCTGGGCTTATCTTGAACAAGTTGGTGAACCTCTCTGGAACTTAATTTTCTCATCTGTCAAATGGAGCAATCATGGGTCTTCCTTCTCGGATTATTGAGTGTACTAAATAAAATAATTGCACAGAAGGGGCTTAGCAATATCCTGGTGGATAGCTGGACAACAAATAAATTTTGGTTGTTTATTACCCTATTTCCTTGATTCTAAGAACAACCTTTTTCTTTTTCCACATTTCACAAATCTGAAATTAGAACAGGCTTTTCATCACTTCCTGTAGTAATTTGTTTTTCCTCCCAGATCATTGTTCAGAATGTAGTAAACAGTATTTTACAGACAAGGAGAGACTGGAGCCAGCATGCCTCGTCCAGGGTCAGCTGGCAAGTGGAGCTAGTCAGCTTAGGCATCATCTTCACCGCTAGTTCTCGAGGGAAGAAGGAAGAACAAGACCCTTTAACTCAGGGTGGGGATGGTGGGGTGGGGGGATCTATGTGCTTCTTGGTCATAGGATATGCTGTAGGAAAACTAATCGGTCTCCACAGTGGAGGCAGAGGCTGTCCAGAAAGGAGAAATGGAGAGACTCCTGGCCAGGTGTCCTCTAGCCAGCAAAGGCACCCCCCGGGTAGGATATGGTGAAGAGTGTGGTAGGTTTTGGAAACAGATTTAGATTCTACTCCTGGCTCTGCCACTTACTGGCTGTGTGTGCTTGCCCCAAGTCAGGTAACCTCTCTGAACCTCTGCTTCCTGCTGTCAGCTGGGGCTTGTCACTGTAACTGCTGCTGTGGAATTGTTGGGGATTCGGGTGAGTTAGTGCATGAGCAGGTTTGCTGCAGGGTAATCCCCCAACGAGTCCCTGGGTGCCACCTGCAGTCAGGTACTCAGCTGCTGACCCAAAGGTTGGTGGTTTGAGTCTGCCAAGAGGTACCTTGGAAGAATGGCCTGGTGATCTACTTCCAAAAAATCAACCATTGAAAACCCTAGGGAGCACAGTTCTTCTCTGATGTACGTGGGGTTGCCATCAGTTGGAATCAACTTGATGGCAACTGGTTTGGTTTTTTTTTTTTTTTTACAGTTATTGTTCCCTAAAGGCCTGTCTCTCCCTTCCCACCATCGGTCTTTGCTTGCACCTTTGCTTGAGATTGCTTTCTTATTCATTCTTCCCTTCAGCTATGGAAATCCGTTCCAAGTCTGTCTCCCATGTTGTCTCCTTGTTCAAGCATTGTCTCACCCCTCACTCCTCCCCGCTCCTCACGGGATGAGTATTACTGGCCTTTTTCTGTCCTGTGTCTCAGGGAAGTGTTCATAGTCCACCATATCTTACTGTTTTTCCTGTACTGTTTGATGTTCCCCAGAAGACTGTCAACCCTTTGAGGGCAGGGGAGTGTCTTAACTTTTCGCAGATTCTGTAGTTCTAGCTTAGAATAACACTGCAGAGAATGTGAAATTAGAGTTCAGCATTGGCTGAGCACATGGTTGATGTCCTAGACAGTATAATTCTGAGCAGACAGGCACCTCTGTGCCTTCACGGGGCCCACTGTCCACAGCCCCATCCACGCCCGGAAGTGGTATTCTTCAAGCAGGAAGTACCCGTGTGCCGTGAGGCGATTCAGCTGTCATGGATCAGCTGGAGTGTGACCATGAGTGATGGCCTCGGTGTCACTGGGCCTTGTGAGAGTGGGATCGTGAGGTCAGTCTGGCCTCAGTGTGGTTGACATTGAGGAAGGCAGATGGAGGAAGCTGCAAGTCGAGTGTGGAGACCTGAGCGAGGGGAGGTGCGGTGTGGCCGGAGCTCAACTCTAGAGTGTGTGGGTAAGAGAAAGGGATGAAGACGAATGTAGGGCCACTGATGGAGGAGTGTCACCGGGTCACATTCCTGGCACAGGAGACGCTGTGATCCCAGGCTTAATGCCCCACTCTGAACTTCGAGTTAGTGCTCCTTATGCTTGGGCTTGGAAACTGCGTGGGGCAAGGTGTGCTGCTTGCCTGCAGAGCCTGGGGTCAGTGCTGACTGGGCCCCGGCGGCCCCTGTAACCCCACAGTAAAGACCGCTTGAGCCTCATGCCAGAGCAGTTTACATTCTCCACTGGGGCAGGTGGAGGATACAGGAAAAACCAGTTAGGGTGTGTGAGGCTCCATTTTATGTTGGTCTCAAGGGAGGGTTGGACTTTTGGGCTCAGAAGCCCAGAAATGCATCTTACAAATCTGGCTTTTTCAGAAAGCTTAGAAGGGTCAAGTAGGTCAGCGAGAACCTTTTATGGGCTACGTCTTCTGAATAGGCAAGTGGGCAAGACCAGAGCTGGGGCTTTGTGCCTCTCCCCTCTGATGGGGAAGATGGCCCGTACGTCACCCTGGGCAGTGTTGGGGGCTTGGTACACTTACTGAAGGTTTGTGGGTCATGCAGGAGAAGTTTGTAAAAACTGGGTGGGGTGGGTCCCACCCTCCTGAGAAGGGAGCCCAGCCTAGGGGGAGTCGGGTGAGTGAGCTCTCTGACGCACGTGTTGTGTCTGTTGTGCTCAGCCTGTGCGCCTAGGAGGTGGTCCGACAGTGTTGAGCACGTACTCGTTCTCAGCAAACACTTGAAAGGAGTGATTTAATTGCACATTCCTTGCCCATTCCATTGTTCACCGGGGGAATATTAGGTTCTGGTGGCTGCTGTAACAAAGTACCACAACTGTTTGGCTTAAAAGAACAGAAATGTATTCCCTCCCTGGCCGGCAGGGCCGTGCGCCCTCCGGGAGTTCTTGTTTTGCCTCTTGCAGCTCTGGTGGCTCCAGGCATTCCTTGGCTTGTGGCTGCATCACTCCAGTCTCTACCCCCATGGTCACCTTTCTGCCTTTGTGTGTCTCTTATAAGGACACTCGTCACTGGATTTAAAGCCCACTCGGGTAAAGTCCTCATCTCAAGATCCTTAACTTAATTAATTACATCTGCAAAGGTCTTTTTCCAAATAAGGTTACATTTACCGGTTTCAGAGCCTACGATGTGGACATATCTTTTTGGAGACCACCATTCAGCCCACTGCAAGGAGTATTTTTTTTTAATCCATTGCTTTTTATCTATTTTAAGGCTGTTAGCCATTTGGTTTGTGGCTGTTCTAGTTTATTGTTTGCATTTAAGTTCTATGCGCGCGCGCGCGCACGTATGTACCAATTTTAAGTTTTATATCGCTAGAATTGTTTTTTTTCCCGTTGATTTTTAGGCTCACAAAGGCCTTTCCTATTGAGTGATAAGTAGTTGCTTCATATTTACATAAAATAAAACCTTAAGAAATGGATTTTTTATCCCAATGGCAACTTGTACTGACATCTGCTATAAGGTGTGGATCCAGACTTTAAAAAACAATGGCTAATCTACAGATGTGTTAGAATTTCGTAGACCTGTGTATATACAGAACTCTGGTGGGGCAGCGGTTAAAAGCTCGGCTGCTAACCAAAAGGTCAGCAGTTTGAATCCACCAGCTGCTCCTTGGAAACCCTATGGGGCAGTTCTACCCTGTCCTGTAGTGTCGCTGTGAGTCAGAATTGACCTGATGACAACGGGTTTGGTGGTTTTTTTTTTTTTTAAATGCGTACATTTGGAGTCCCTAGGTGGCACAGTTAAGTGCTTGGCTTCTAACCTAAAGATTGGCAGTTTGAACCCACCCAGAAGTACCTCTGAGGAAAGGCCAGGCGATCTGCTTCTGAAAGGTCATTGCCACTGAAAACCCTATGGAGCACACTTCTCCTCTCACACACATGGGGTCACCATGGTTTGGAATCACCTGGACAGCAACTTTATTAAGTCGTGATATATGCCGGGGTGTTTTAGAATTGTACTTATTTATTTTGGGAAAAATTGAGTGACATCATTCAGTATTCAGTCTTCCCATGTAGGGGCATGGTGTATCCTGTCTATTTAGGCTGTATTTCATCTTTCAGTACCCTGTGTGTGGTTTTCTTCAGGAAATTCATAGATACTTTTAAGTTTCTTGTTGTTACTATAGATGGTCTTTTTTCTGTTTATATTCTTTAACCGGCTTGTGCTGGTTCTGTGTCACCAAATAGGATACCCACACCCTTCCAAGGGTATGAAATTCTTTTAACTGGAAAATGCTTTTCATTCTGCAATTAGAGACAATGTTTAACAGGCTTTTATTCATTCTTTTAAACCTCCTCTCAAGAAAGGCAGAGTCAGTTATTTACCCCTTATTGTGAATTTATGTACCTGTTTCTCTGGCCGAGTATTTGGGGAGGGAGAGGTGTTTTTTTAATAAAGAAATCTGAAGTTGTGTTCTGTGTAATTGTAATGCTAACTATACTTTGTTGGAGTTGATATTTTTGAAAATGGTAGAGGCGTTTCCTCTCCTCTCCCTTATAGGGGCGTGTTGCCTGGGGTGTCATAGGCCTGACCAGGCTGAATGTACAAACTGGTGTCCAGCTCAAAGACTGGTCTGAGCTGGCTGAGGACTTCTTCTCTGCTTTGCTCCTCCGGGACCGTGAGGCCTGGGCAGGCACTGAGCATGTTGAGAAGACCCCTAGCTGGGTGAACCCCAAATGTGAGACTCTCCAGAAATGGCAAATGTACCATTAACCCCTCCAGGTCAGTCTTACGAAATTCGACTGTTGGAGAACCGGAAGCTGGGGGACTTCCAGGATCTGAATACGAAATACGTCAAGGTAAGGCCGGCGGGGCTGCTCTCTGCCCACGCAGTGCTGGTTAGGGCCAAGGCCCTGGGCTGCTGCCGGAGGTCACCAGTAGGCTGGGAAGACTTCAGAGGAAGAGGGGGTGTTCACCTTGGACCCTGCGGATGCAGTGGAGCCCTGTGCTCTGGCGAGGGTTGTCGGAGTTGAGAGCCAGCATGGCTGGATGGGAAGAACTCATATCCAAGGCCTGGCTTTGCCACTTACTGAACTCCTGAGGTTTAGTGTGCTCGTCTGTCCCAAGGGGTTTACAGATACAACATGTCTTTACAGCAGTTAGTAACTGTCTCAGGTACCTAGTGCTGCTGTCACAGAAATACCTTAGGTGAGTGGCTTTAAGGAACACACATTTATTTTCTCACAGTTCAGGAGGCGAGAAGTCGGAATTCAGGTCACCGGTGCTTGAGGCAGGCTCTCTCAGGCGCTGGGGGACAGTCTGTTTCAGCTTACGTGGCCTCGGCGTTCCCCAGTTTCTCAGCAGTCTTCACACGGCATCTGTCTTCCCCCGTTTGTGCTCCTTGTCGCTGGGTCTTTGCTGCTCCTTGTAACTCCGAAGGATTCGGTTTAGGACCCGCTGTCCACTGAGACAGCCTCGTGAACATAACAAAGAAGCCCTGTTCCCAAATGGGACTGCATCCCAGGCTTAGGGGTTAGGATTCCAACGCGTAGTTTGGGGGGACACAGTTTAATCCATGACAGTAATCATTGTTACTGTTGTCACTGTTGTTGGGGCTCTGAGGAAGATATAGTACAAGGAGCTCTGGTTCTGGGGGAGCCCGAGGAGGAGGGGCCTTGACGGTGGGGAGGGCTTGCCCTGGCTGGGGAAGGAAGCGAGGCTTCCGGCCGCCCTCACCCGCCCGCCTGCGGCCCCCTCCCCAGAGCATCATCCGGGTGGTGTTCCATGACCGTCGGCTGCAGTACACGGAGCACCAGCAGCTGGAAGGCTGGCGCTGGAGCCGCCCCGGGGACCGCATCCTGGACATTGGTGAGTTGGCTGGCCAGGTGGGGCATGAGGCGCCCAAGCCACGCAGGGGCTCTTCTTGGACACCGTCTGTACCCATGCGTGGCCAGGCCCGTTAGTGCCCTCCATCCTGTGCAGAGGCGGCGGGAGCTTGCAGAGTGTATATGCCACCGGGCTCGCCTCACGGGGTCCCCTTTTCACCGGAGAAGAAAGGCCTGCTGTCAGGGTGTCAGGGAAGGCTTCGCACAGGGAGCACGCCTTAAAGGATTTTGATAAGTGATGAAGGGAAGGGTGGGTGTCACAGAGATGGGAAATGAAAATGGAATTTTGCGGTTCGGGTCCATAGTCCTTTGTGCACAACCCTGGGGATCAGATAGGTGATGGAATTCAAAAGTTAGAATGATAATGGGGGGGGGGTGCGTATACCCATAGGAGGAGCCCTGGTGGCGCAGTGGTTAAGTGCTTGGCTGCTAACGGAAAGGCAGTGGTTCTAACCCACCAGCAGCTCCACAGGACAAAAGACCTGGCAATCTGCTTCCATAAACAGTACATAAAGAAGAATCCCTATGGGGAAGTTCTCCTCCATCCTGTAGGGTCGCCATGAGTTGGAATGGACTCGATGGCACACAGCAACCACACGCCCCTAGTGTCATGTATCCAACAGGCCATCAAACACATATCTGCAGCAAGGTGAAATGACAGTTCACGTAGAATGGGATAAAGACCACAGCTTCACGTCAGCTCGAGGCAGGCCTTCTGCCAGAAGAGTGACGGCACCTTTAGTTTTCTGAGCATCTGACATTTCAGTTGTGGGTCAGGAATTTGCACGTGTAACGCGGGTCCTTCTTAACTCCTTGGAGTGGCTGACAGTTGCACTTTTGTGTGTGTGTGTGTGTGCACAGATATTCCACTGTCTGTTGGTATCTTGGACCCCAGGGCCAGCCCGACACAGCTGAATGCAGTTGAGTTTTTGTGGGACCCTTCCAAGCGAGCCTCTGCATTCATTCAGGTGAGTGGAAGGGGACATCATGCTCTGCGGGGAAGCTGGGGCTTTGGGGTTCATTTTGCATCTCCTCAGAACCAACCCAGCTGGGCAGGCTCTTGGTGGGCTCCTGTCCCCTGTTCCAGGGAAGGAAATTGAAGGAGAGAGAGAGTCTGAGTGTGGCTCGGAGCCCCAGTGCTGGTTGGCTGCCAGGGAAGAGGACTTGGAATGTTTCAGAATTCCAAGTCTTCTTGCATTTTGCTTATAGAATACGTATGCTTTCTAAAAATGAGCGTTTGCTAGCACAAATAATTTGAAAGTAAAACATTTTTTCATGGTAGTTTCTGGTCTGTAATGATCATGGGTTTTGAACATCAGGTTTGTATCCAGCCTTGGGTTAAATTCTGTGTAAGACAGAGCTGGTGAAGGATGTGGCTGTGGCCTTGTGGTTCCAGATGCATCCTAGTTCTCTCACTTGCTATATGTCCTTGAGCCAGTCTCTTTACATCTTGGAACTTTGCTCCTCTGAGATGGTGCTCTTTCTACAGAACCTATCTTAGGGATTTGTTGTGAGTCCTAAATCAGAGAATGAATTTAAGCTATTAGTGTAGTGCCTGACACGTAGTAATTACTCAGCAGAAGCTGGCTCTCATTGGTGTTGTTACCATAAAGGTCTGTCAAGTGCCTTTGTTAAACAGGTCGTTAACAGAAATATAGAAATGGTTCAAGTCTTGTGGTCATGCTTCTAGCCTGGCCAGAGTAACCTGGACACAGGCCTGTAGAGAGAGACTAAGGACTAAGTTGTGTCCCTACTTAGGTCTGTGTGAGTCAGCCAGGGCGAGGGGCGGCGGGGGGCCTCATGGGGTCCGTCGGCGTCTCTGAAGTAAAGGGATGAGGGTGGGAGGGTGTGACCTCTGCACGCAGGGGGACAGGCCATCAGCCTGATGGAGTGGACGGAGGCGGGGTGGAGACCTCCATCTGGAGAGAGACACCCAGAGTCCACACCCCGCCCTTGCCTACCTTGCTACCTGCCCGCTGTCCCCTCTTCCAGGTGCACTGCATCAGCACAGAATTCACCCCGAGGAAGCACGGGGGTGAGAAGGGCGTGCCCTTCCGAGTGCAGATTGACACGTTTAAGCAGAATGAGAACGGGGAGTACACGGAGCACCTGCACTCTGCCAGCTGCCAGATCAAGGTGTTCAAGGTAGGACGCCTCCCCACCTGCTCTTCCGGCCCGTGATCACATCTGTCTCCACTTCCGGCCTGCGCATACCCTGTGGCTGGGCTCCTTCAGCCTGGGCCTCCGTGTCTCTGTAGCCCAGGGATCTAACTAGACCCCGAGGAGGACGGGCTGCGGGCTCCTGGGGCGATGGCATCCTTTTAAGTGTGATGTCCCCTAAGCCGTCACCAGAAATGTCGGAGTCCCTGTATGGCAGTGCTCAGCTCAGCCTATAAGGATGTGCATGTTTTTGGATTTTTTCCTCCCAAGTACTTTCTAGTTGTCCGCAGGTGCCCACATTAGGGTCCCCTAAGAACCAAATCAGAGACTCCTCCTGGAGGCCTAGCTACACCATCTTCATGTCCAGGGCCTGACGCCATGCTTCTCTCTGCAGTGGTTTCCTGCTGGGGAAAAAGACATTTTCTCCTCCCTCCCTTGCTGGCCGCACCCCCAGTAGTCACCCATCATCGTTTTCCATCTCTTCAGTCTGGATGGTTTCCTGGAAATGGGAGCCGTGATCCAGCCGCTAGTCCAGTGTGGCCTCGGGGAGGGAGGATTGTGGCTGGTCTTGTTCTCGGGCATGAGTGGCCTGCGGCTCTCCTGCAGCTCTGTTTCCAGGCCTGCAGAGGAGAGGGTGTGGAGCTGCCTGCCTGCAGAAGCTGCCTGAGTAACAAGCCCCCTGTGCCTTCCCGACCTCCTCTTTGCTCACGTTCAGGAACGGGTCCGTCTGCTGGGGCTGGACATCCAAGAGTGAGTCTTTTCAGGCAGGGCTTGTTAGAGAGAAAACCAGGTCCGTGTGGACCTTCCAGAGGTGAGAGGATGTGGAAATATCCACAGGTACACTGTCATCCTGGTGACTGCAGGGTTGGTACGCCCTAACCCGAAGGAAGTCCCTGGAGGTGGACTGTGCCATGTCCCTCCTTGGAGCATCTTCCACAGACCCCTGGTAGATAGTAGGCACTCGGCAGTGATTTGTGGAATGTGCCGCTCACAGCAGGCATAGGGCGAGCAAGGAGGAATCCACAGTGCCTGTACTACAGGAGACCATGTAACCCAGCTGGCAGCTCCGTCCCAGGTGGCAGGAACTGGCTGCCCGAGAACTGTGGGCACAGGACCCCGAGGCCACAGCCGGGCTCCGCGGAGCTGAACACGTGACCAGTTTTCGTGTCGGCCTGGGTGAGGGAGGGAGAATGGGTGGTGGTGGTTGTTAGCTGCTGTCATGTTGGCCCCTGACTCATGATAACCCATGTACAGTGGGATCAGACCGTGCTGGCTGATTTTTTTGGAAGTAGATCACCATACCCTTCTTCCTAGTCTGTCTTAGTCTGGAAGTTCCACTGAAACCTAGACAGCATCATACAACACAGAAGCCTCCACTGACAGAGGGGTGGTGGCTACACATGAGGTGTATTGGCTGGGAATCGAACCCAGGCCTCCCACATGGAAGACAAGAACTCTGCCTCTGAACCACCAATGCCCCCGAAATTGTGCTGTCTTGCCAAAGCAGTGAGAACCTTCAGAAACCTGCTTTAGACTATGAAGCGCTGGGATCAGCCTCCGTGGGAAGTAGCATGACTCAGCTGTATTAGTTTCCTGTTGCTGCTGTGACAAATTACCACACGTTTAGTGACTTAAAACAACACCTTTATTATCTTACAGTTCTAGCCGTCAGAAGTCCACAGTGGGTCCCCCAAGCTAAAACCAAGGTATTGGCAGGGCTGCGCTCCTTCCGGAGGCCCCATCTCCTTGTCTCTTTCAGCTTCCGGCGGCTGCCGGCACTCCTTGGCTTCTGGCCCCTTCTTCCGTCTTCAAAGCCAGCAGTGTAGCATCTTCAAATCTTTCTCTGACTGTGACTTTCTGCGTCCTCCTTCCACATTTAAGGACCCTTGTGATTACATGAGACCTGTCCGGATAATCCAGGGTCATCTCCCTGTCTCAAGGGCAGGTGATTAGCAACCTTAGTTCTGTTTGCAGCCTTCATTCCCATTTTCCACGTAACCTCACGTCTTTGCGGGTTCTGGGGAATAGGACGAGGCCATCTCTGGGGACCGGTATCCCACCATCATATCCACCAGTGCAGGGGGTGTCCCGCCTCTGGTCTTATTGCCCATTCTGGGATCTTGGGATCCTTTGTGACATGTGCGCAGCTGCGCTGCCGGTGGTCTTCCCTGTCCTGTGGTTCTTGTGTTCTTGGTCACACCTTGTCTCATTACACTCACACCACGGAACTGGCACCCACCTTCTACCCTCAGGCCGTGGCTCACTTCCTAATCTAGGTCTACTCTGGGGGTCAGCCACCATGCTGGGCAGTGGGAGAGAGGAACGAGGCGGGGCTTCTGCCCTCACACATCGCCCAGCCCTTCCCATGGCCCCTGCTAGCTCTCCTTTCTACACCCAAGTCAGAAGCTCTGGAGTGAGGGGGCACTGAGGGCTCTGCCCACCGGGCTTCTCACCCACACACCTGGCGTCACTCTGGGAACTGGGCTGCAAGCTGTCTGGTCCCAGTGACCCGAGGACGGCTTGGGCTTCTCTTGCGGGGAAGTTAGGAGCCCCAAGTCACCCAAAACTGGCTTCACAGGGTGCCTGAGGAGACGTGCCCACCCCATCCACTGTCCCCATTCATAGAAGCAGTTGAAATTGGGGGTGAACAAGTGGCAGGCAGAGGCGAGCCAAACTCAGTCCTTCCTCCTATCTTGGGTCACCCCATTACTGGAAGCGCCCTGAAGCTCTGGGTGGGGTGTCTGAGTCTCTGAGGGGCGAGAGACCTGGAGGGACAGACAGTGCCTCTCTGGGGACAGCCAGCTTCCGCAGGCTCACTGGGGCTGAGTGCCGTGTGCCCCATGCATGCCTGGCCACAGTCTGGTGTGGTCCTGCTGCACCTGTGGCTTTGGGGCCGGAAGGAGGGGCCTCCCTGTGAGGGACAGGGCCTTGGAGGTGGAGCAGGGAGGCCAGGTGCCACGGGTTTGGCTGCAGCATGCCTGGGCCCCTGCTGCCGTGTGCCTAACTCTCACGCTGGACGCTGGCTCTGCCACTTGTGACCCCGTGTGAGCCTTGCAAACCTGCCTCTGTCTATGGCTGAGGGTCGCATTACCCTGAGAGCTGTTTCTCCAGAAGCCCTCAAGCAGGAGCTGAACGCTATAGGTGAGGAAGGCACGTGCTGGAATGAAGATCCTCAAAGCTTCCTGCCACGTGAGGGTACAATGAAGAGAAAACCAGTGAGCTTGAGGACTGACCTCCTTTTCGTTCACTGCCTACAACGCGGACAGCCTCCTGCATACAGCGTTTAACACCACCAGTTCTTGGGGTGCTCTGAGCCTACGCCGGACGCCCAGCTAAGCCACGGACTCAGAAAGGCACAGGATCTGGTGGTCCAGTGATGTCAGGAAGTCCCCATTGGCGGGCCAGCGGGGCCAGCCTGGTGGGGGCATGCTCCTGAGTGCCCTCGCTTGACACCTCGTCAGCATCCCCTTCCTCTCTGATATTTTTCTCCCCCCCCCTTTTTATTTCTTGTGGTGAAATATATGTAACGAAGTTTGCCATTTTAACTCCGTTTAAGTGTACAGTTCAGTGACATTAATCACATTTGCCATGTTTGCTACCACCACCCTGTTCGTTTCCAGAAGTCTCCCGTTACCCTTAACAGAAACTCGGTGCCCTTCTGCAGTAACTCCCCTTCTAGCTCCTGGTGACCACTAACTGACTTCGGTCTCTGTGCATTTGCTGATTCTAGATACTTCATAGCAGTAGGGTGGTCTCATATTTGTCCTTTCGTGTCTGACGTATGACTCCGCAGAATGTCTCAAGGTTCATCCATGCGGTAGCATGTGTCAGGAGGTTCCCGTGTCTTTATGGCTGAGTAGTGTTCCGTTGTATGTATGTACTGCCTTGGGTTTATCCATTTATCTGCTGATGGACATTTGGTTGTTTCTACCTTCTGGCGATTGAGAATAGTGCTGTGGTGAACCCTGGTATACTTGTGACTTCCTTCAGCCTTGCTGTCCTAATCTGTAAGTGAGGGGAACAGTAGTACCTATGAGGCCTGGACACCCTTTGTAAGTCACTTGGGTTTGCTGCCTCTGCCCTCCATGACCTCCTGTGGCAGGTCCATGTGCCTGGTGGCCGTCTCAGGATGAAGACCCAGCCTGCACGTGCCGTGTAAGCTGGAGCTGGAGGTGTGGAAGCCTTCATCACATCTCTAGGATTTCCTAGCCCACAAGGGTGACCAGCAGCCCCTAGTATCCTTCATTCCCTTCACTCTCCATGAGTCAGCCAAGGAGGTGTTGGGATTTACTATGGCTCCGGAAGGTTCAGGAGTTCTGCTGGCGCAGTGGTTAAGCACTCTGCTGCTAACTGAAAGGTCAGTGATTTTGAACCCACCAGCCACTCCATGGGGGAAGATGTGGCAGTCTGCTTCTGTAAGAATTTACAGCCTTGGAAACCCTATGGGGCAGTTCTCCTCTGTCCTGTAGGGTTTCTATGAGTCAGAATCGACTCGACGGTAAGAGATTTACGGGTCCTGAAGGTTCCTCTCTATAAGCAAGTGGCTGTTGGGAAAGGTCTTTTTGTGAGCATTATGCCGTGAGCCGCTGAGTGCACAGGACCCAGGAGAGCTTCCGAGGGAAGAGTGTTCCAGGAGCAGTGTTTGAGGCTGGCAGCTGAGGGAGATGCTCTGAGGTCCTGGCTGGGCTGCCGGGGCTCTGGGGAGAGTGGAGAGTCTGCAGGCCTTGGAGCCACCGCTGGGCACTGGGTCTCCACCTGCTGGCCTTTGCCCGCTGCGGACTAACTGGACGCCTGTGTTGTGCCATTGCAGCCAAAGGGAGCCGACCGGAAACAGAAAACAGATCGGGAGAAAATGGAGAAAAGGACCGCACAGGAGAAGGAGAAATACCAGCCGTCCTATGAAACCACCATCCTCACGGAGGTGAGTGGCTAGACCGTTGGCACAGAGCCCTCAGGGCCCTGCTCTGAGGAGCAGGGCATTGTGCTTGTTTGAGATGGTTGTAAAATGGCCCATCTTGGGTCAACCCTTCTCTTTTGAGCTCTAATTAAATTGTGGCATGTTCGCTGTGTCTGGAGCTTGTGTTCATCTGCTGAGGCTCAGCGGCTGGGGAGGTGCTTCAGAAATCATTTCTAGCTCTCTGCTGCATTCAAATGCACTTTTAAAAATTAGGTTGATTTTCGTGTGTTTGAATAGGGAATATATTCACGTGGTTCCAAACTGAAAAGGTACAAGGGTACACACCCAAAAGCGTCCTTCCCACTGCTGTCCCTGGCCACTCATTCTCTCCTCGGGGGCAGCCAGCGTCTCTCGTTCCTGAGTGTCCATCTGATCTCTGTGTGCACATGGAGCCAGTTTGAACATGTATGGGTCCCACACCTGCTCTTGGACATCAGTGGTGCACGTGGACACATGTTCTTTCTGCAACTTGCGTTTTTCCACGTAATGCGTGCCGTGGAGTCCACTCACTACCAGTTCACGAAGAGCTTGCTAATTCTTTATCCAGCTGTGCAGCTTTTGTAGCGCGGTGGCCTGTGGATGGACATTTGGTCCTGTCCGGCGTCTGGCCATTGCGGAGGGTACCGCATACAGTACATGTGAGACTCTGCCGCGGGGTGAGAATATATGCAGGATTCGATTCGAGAGGTGGAGTCAGGAGGTCAGAGGGTATGTGCGCTTGTTATTTTGTTGTTCGACAGCTGCTGGATTCCTCTTAAACTTGGCACCTCAACCACCCTGCTCCAAGCGTCAGTACATCGGGGGTACTTCTGAGATGACCCATGTCACAGATGTCACAGGCCCCGCTCTTCCTGTCCCAGGTCACAGCCAACATCTTCTCTTTTGCTTGGCCCCATTTTTCTTCCAAACAAATGATTCCCAGCTGTGGTTTGCAGTCAGGCCAACTAATAGGTGTTGGTGTTTGTTCATTGAGTAACTGGACTTACTCAGAAGGCCCTCCACCAGTGTGGGGGTTAAGGCTGGGCGAAGGGTGAGGCCACAGCACAATGTCTTAAGAGAACAGTGGCCCTGTCCTTGCTGATGCGGAGCTGTGTGTGCACGCACGAGTGTTGGTGTGCGTGAGTGTGCGCACGTACGCGTGTGCTTGCACATGTCTGCTCGTGCGTGGGTGTGTGCATGCATGTGTGAGAGTGTTGTGTGTGCCTGTATATGCGTGTGTGCGTACGTGTCTGTGAGTGTGTAATGAGCTACATGCAGAAGAGTATTTGCAGTAAGGGAGTATAGTGTAAAAGCTACTTTTGTGGGCACACAGATGTGCACTGCATTTTACCTGACCCTGAGGATGCCAGTGGCCAGAGACAGCGGGTGTGGGAAGGGCCTTCCCCTAGCCTTGGCCACAGTGTGGGGCCTCTAGTTGCTGGGCAGGCAAAGGAGCAGAGGATGCGAGGCCTGCATGTTCTGAGTTAGACATCAGACCAGCTTCCTTCTCCCCATGCCTGCTCCCCATGCTTTCTTCTCCTCATGCTTTTGCCCGTGCTGGGGACCCTCCACCCCATTCCCACTTGCCATTTGTGGATGAGCCTTGCCCTCTCCTGTCCTCAGGCTCCCCTCTGACCTCCCAGGTGGAGGTGAGGTCCTGGAGCAGCTCACGCAATGCCCTGGTGACTGTGCAGTGCGGTTGGTGGAAATTCCCGCCTGGCCAGTGACCTTGTCCGGAGTCACGTGGGCAGTGATGGCGTATGGGGCTCCCACCTCTATCGGCTCATCAGCACCAACAAATTCCAGCCCACGCTTGCCGTGGAGTTAAATATTCACCAGCCCTGCGGTTAGGTGGGTGATAGTAAATCTTCAGGAATGTTTCCAATTGTTGTTCTCCAAGGAGGCATTGCTGCAGGGAAGGGGAGAAATTAATTCTTCATCCACAGACACCTCCCAACAGGCGAAACCTGGGTGGCTGTGGCCTTCTTTGGGAGACAGACCCCCACATGTGTTCATTTTTTGACTTCTGCACGGAAGTTCCCAGAGGACGAGGATCACATCTTAGGTGTTGGTGTGTCTCTCGCAGCTCCTAGCAGAATGTCCTAAATTAATAAAGAAGTGTGGGATTGTGCTGAAGAAAAGCTGCTCGTGGTGACTGTGTGAGGTGCTGGGGCTCCTGACAGGGTTGGACACCGTTAGAGAGCCCAGGTTCTATTTGCAAAAAGCACATCTTTTCATAGCAAATTTTACAGAGTATTTTTTGCGTGGAAGTTGTGCGTGGTCCGTGCTCTTGGTAACGTGTTTACACACCTTTGTCTGTACCAAGAAAACCTGCTTCTGAGCAACTGGTCTGTTTTGTTTTTTCCTCTGTTTTCTTGGGGACCCAGGAATCTCGTGACTGATGATGTTTTGGTTTGACTCTCAGGAGGCCCAGAGAAACACCTCACCCTTTACTTGCTCTGGGGGGGACTTACTGAGCGTTAGGTCGCTTCTGTACCACATCTGGTTTCGCCTGGGTGACCTGAGTCCTCACCGTCCCCATCCGCGGCTCACTGTGGGCGCTGGGTCGGTGGGGGTTGGGTGTTGAAGGGTCTGTGGTTTCTTGTTTTGGCTTTGATGGATGTTTACCAGGGAGGGTCAGAGGAGCACACAGTGAGCCCTCTGCCCGACCCTGGCCTCTCTGAGTCCCCGTGCCCTCGAGTCACTGCTGCCTGTACTCTCTCCCCTCAGTGCTCTCCGTGGCCTGACGTGGCCTACCAAGTGAACAGTGCCCCGTCCCCAAGCTACACCGGCTCTCCAAACAGCTTCGGCCTTGGCGAAGGGTACGTGCAGCCTCTCTCCCCTCGGAGCCCCTCGGATGACGATGGTGGGCAGGTTCCTTCTCTGACTTTTCCTCTCTGCGTCTTCTTCCTTTCTGCAGCTTGGCATCAATTTGGGTTTCGGAGGGGCTAACTGGTCTTACCGTAACAGCCATTCCTAGCATTTGTTTTCCTAAATTTTATTTATTTTGTTATTGTTGAGAATATACGTAGCAAAACATACACAAATTCGACAGTTTCTACTTGTACTATTTAGTGACGTTGATTACATTCGAGGTGTGCAACCATTCTCATCCTCCTTTTCTGAGTTGTTCCTCCCTCATTAACATGAGCTGACTGCCCCCTAAGGTTCCCATCTAAACTTTCGAGTTGCTGTTGTCTATTTGATCCCATATAGATAGTTCTTGAAAGAGTTTAATGCTCAAGGCATTCTTTACTAGTTAAGCTAAACCATTGTTTGGTTTTAAGAAGACTTCAGGGGATACTTTTGGTTTGAGGTTTAAAGATTATCTCAGGGTAATAGTTTCGGGGGTTCATCCAGCCTCCATGGCCCCAGAAAGTCTGGAGTCTATGAGAATTTGAAATTCTGTTCTGCATTTTCCCACTTTGGATCAGGATTCGTCTGTAGAATCTTTGATCAAAATATTGAGTAATGGTAGCCAGGCCCCATTCACTTCTTCTGTTCCCATAGCAAAGGAGGCAGTTGTTCATGGAGGCAATGAGCCACACATTCCATTTCCTCCTCCTATTCCTGACTCTCCTTCTTCCTTTGTTGCTTCAGGAAAATAGAGAACAATTGTTGTGCCTTGGATGGTCCCTTGCAAGGTTTTATGATACCAGGCACTATGCAATAAACTAGGAGGTAGAACAGAAGCACTAAACACATTATTAGGCCAATTAACTGGGTTATCCCACGAAACCACGACCTTAAACCTCCAAACCAAGGAACCAAATCCCAAGAGGTGTTTGGTTGTACATAAGCAGCCTCAGCAGCTACTCTTTTTTTTTTTGATTATTGTTGCCAATTTAGCTTTTTACAGGCATACAACTTTTTGACAGCAGTCGCAATAATTAGCTGTGCAACCCTCCCCTTAATCAATGCGAGTTTTCCATTACCGTTAACCCCCGTCTCTCCCTCTTTTGCACTCCTGGTAACCACAGATACTTTAGTCTCTATATACAGTTGCCTTTTCTTGTCTTTTTATATAAGTGAGGTCATATGGTATTTGTCCTTTTGTGATTGGCTTATTTCACTCAGCATAATGTCTTCAGTTCCATCCATACTGTAGCATGCATCAAGACTTCATTTCTCCTGCTGGCTGAGTAGTATTCCATTGTATGTATGTGCCACATTTTGTTTATCCATTCATCTGCTGATGGGCATTTAGGCTGTTTTCTTTTGGCTATTGTGAATAGTGCTGCAGTGAACACTGGTGTACAGACCTCTTTCTGAGTCTCTGCTTTCGAGTCTTTGGGTATATACCTAGGAGTGGAATTGCTAGGTCATATGGTAGTTGTATTTTTAGTTTTTTGCTTTCCACAATGACTGTACCATTTTGCATTCCCACCAGCAATGGATAATGGTTCCAGTTGCCCCACATCCGCACCAGCATTTGTTATTTTTTTTAATCTTAGCCATCCTAACCCTTTGCTTTCGAGTCGATTCTGACTCAGGCGACCCTACAGGACAGAGTAGAACTGCCCCATAGAGTTTCCAAGGAGCGCCTGGTGGATTTGAACTGCTGACCTTTTGGTTAGTGGCCAAGCTCTTAACCACTGTGCCACCAGGGCTCCTTTAGCCATCCTAGTGAAATGGTATCTCCTTGTGATTTTGATTTGCATCTCTCTGATGGCTAATGACGCTGAGCATCTTTTCATGGGTTCGGCGGCCATTTGAATGTCTTCTTTGGCGCAGTGTCTGTTCAAGTCCTTTGCCCATTCTGTAATTGGTTTATCTGTCTTTTTTTTGTTAAGTTGTTTAAGTTTTATGTATATTTTGGTTATTAGGTTCTTGTCGGATATATTGTTTCCGAAGATATTTTCCCAGTTGGTTGCTTGTCTTTATACTTTTTTTGGTAATGTATTTTAGTGAGCAAAAGTTTTTAATTTTTATGAGGTCCCATTTGTTCATTTTATCTTTTGCTGTTTATGCTTTTGTTACTGTATTAGATAATCCCTTACTAAAAGCTAGGCCTGACAGCATTCCCCCTGGTTGTTCTTCTAAGAACTTTATGGTTGTAGTTTTCAGACTTTGAATTTGTTTTTTGTATGTGTTATGAGACACAGATACCGTTTCATTTTTCTGCATGTGGAAATCCAATATTCCCAGCACCGTTTATTGAAGAGACACTTCTTTCCGCATTGAATGGAATTAGCACCGTGTCAAGAATCAGTCGACCATAAACACGTGGGTTTATTTCTAGACTCTCAATTCCATTCCATTAGTCTGTGTGTCTGTTGTTATACCAGTACCCGTCTATTTTGATTACTGTAGCTGTAAAGTATGTTTTAAAATCAGGAAGTGTGAGTCCTCCAACTTTATTCTTCTCTTTCAACATTGCTATTCGGGGCCTGTTGCCATTCCATATAAGGTTGAGAATTGGTTTTTCTATTTCTGTAAATTAGGCTGTTGGAATTTTGATGATTGCATTGAATCTATAGATCACTTTGGTTACTATTGACATCTTAGCAATATTATGTCTTCCAATCCAAGCTCATGGAACATCTTTCCATTTATTTAAATCTTCTTTAATCTCTTTCAGCAGTGTTTTATAATTTTCATTATATATATCCATCACATCCCTGTTTAGATTTATTCCTAGGTATTTTTTTCTCTTAGTTGCTATTGTAAGTGGAATTATTTCCCTTTCAAATTTCTCATTACTGGTGTATAAAAACTCAACCGATTTTTGTTTGTTGACCTTGAACCCTGCAGATTTGCTAAATTCCTCTAAGAGCTCTAGAAGTTTTCTTGGGATTTCTTTGGGATTTTCTATACATAGGATCATATCATCCACAAATAGGGATAATTTTACTTCTTCTTTTCCAATATAGATACCTTTTATTTCTTTTTCTTATTGCTCCGGCTAGGAGTTCTAATACAATATTGAATAGGAGTGAGCGGGCACCCTTGTCTTGTTTCTGTTTTCAAGGGCAAAGCTCTCAGTTTTTGTCCATTAAATATGATGTTGGCTGTTGCCTTTTCATACGTGCCCTGAATCATATTGAAAATTTCCCTTCTATTCCGATCTTCTTTAGGGTTTTTATCAAGAAGAGGTGTTGGATTTTATCAGTTGCTTTTTCTGTATCCATAGAGATGATCATGTGGTTCTTTTCCTTTGTTCTATTGGTGTAGTATATTATGTTGATTGATTTTCTAATGTTGAAACATCTGTGCATTCCAGGAATAAATCCCACTTGGTCATGGCTTATGACTCTTAATATGCTGTTGGATTCTGTTTACTAGCATTTTGTTGAGGATTTTGCATCTATATTCATAGGAGATATTAGGCAGTAGTTTTCTTTTCTTGTGAAGTCTTTGGTTTGAGTATCAGGGTTATGTTTGCCTCATAGACTGAATTAGGAAGTATTTGGAAGAATTTAAACAGTATTGGTGTCAATTCTTCTCAAACTTTTGGTAGAATTCCCCAGTGAAGCCATCTGGTCCAGGACTTTGTTTTGTTGAGGGGTTTTTGGTCACTGATTCAGTCTCTTCACTTGTTATGGATCTGTTGAGACTTTCTATTTCCTCTTCAGTCAGTTTGGGTAAGTTGTGTGCTTCCAAGAATTTGTCCATTTCATCTAGGTTATCCCGTTTGTTGCCATACAGTTGTTCATAATATTCTGTCATAATTCTCTTTGTTTCTGTTGGGTTAGTTGTAATGTCTACTCTTTCATTTTTTATTTTGGTTATTTTTATCTTTGTCAGTCTTGCTAAAGGTTTGTCAATTGTCTTGATCTTTTCAAAGAACCGACTTCTGGTTTTATTGATTCTCTCTATTGTTTTTGATTTTATTTATTTCTGCTCTGATCTTTGTTGTTTCCTTTCTTCTGGTAGGGTTAGGCTTAGTTTGGTCTTCTCTTTCTAGTCTCTTTCTATCAAGTTAGGTTATTATTAGGTTATTAATTAATTACTGCCTTCACTGCATCCCGTAAGTTTTGATATACGTGGTTTCATTTTCATTGGACTCTTAAGAAATTTGCGATTTATTCCTTGACTCATTGGTAGTTTAATAGTGTGTTGTTTAATTCCCATGTTTGTGTATTTTCCAGGTTTTTTTCTGTTACTGATTTCTAGCTTCACTCTGTTGTCATCACAGAAAATACTCTGTGTAATTTGAATCATTTAAAATTTATTAAGACTTGCTTTGTGACCTAAAACGTGGTCTGTTCTGGAGAATGATCCATGTATACTGGAGTAGAATGTATATTGTGCTATTTTTGGGGGGAGTGTACTATATATGTTTGTTAAGTCTAATTGTTTTATAGTGTCATTTAAGTCCTGTTTTCTTGTTGATCTTCTACATGTTCTGTCCAATATTGAAAGTTGTGTATTGAAGTTTCCAACTATTATCGTAGTCCTGTTTCTCCCTTCAGTTCTATCATTGTTTTATGTATTTAGGTGCTTCGATGTTGGGCACGTATGTATTCATGATCGTTAAATTTTCTTGATTAATTGACCCTTTTATTACTCTATCATGTCCATCTGTATCCCTTCTGACAGATTTTGTCTTAAAGTCTACTTTGTCTGATATTAAGATTGCCACCCCAGCTCTCTGGTGATTATTATTTGCATGGAATATATTTTTCCATCCTTTCACTTTCAACCTCTTTGTGTCCTTAGGGTTAAGATGTGTCTCTTGTAAATAGCATATAGTTGGGTCATGCTTCTTTAAATCCGTTCTGCCACTCTCTGCCCTTTGATTGGAGCATTTCGTTCATTTACATCCGCTGTAATTACTGATAAGAAGTGACTTACTTCTGCCATTTTGTTATTTGTTTTTTTGTGTGTCTTAAGCTTTTTTTATCTTTTTCCTTTACTACTGCTTGCTTTTGTGTTTTGTGGGTTTGTTGTAGTGAGCCTTTTTGGTTCCCATCTCCTTTGCTTTTGTGTATGTTTTCTATATGTTTCCTTAGTGGTTACCATTTAAGAGCTTGTATTTATCACATTGTAAGGTCAGTTGGTACCAACTTAACTTCAGTAACAGAGAAGAAATTTTATGTCTGTACCTTTCCTCTCCCCCTACCTTCGTTCTTGTTAACACTAATTAAACCGAAAAAAACCAAACCTGTTGCCATCGAGTCGATTCCAACTCACAGCGACCCTGTAGGACAGAGGAGAACTGCCCCATAGGGTTTCCAAGGAGTGGCTGGTGGATTCCAACTGCCCACCTTTTGGTTAATAGACGAGCTCTTAACCACTGCACCACCAGGGCTTACTAATTACATGTTTATATTTCATGTGCCCTGTAACATAACTTTATCCTTGCCTTTTATATATTTGTTATTGAAAAACATGAAGGACAAAACACTGAGAATTCTCAAGCATGAATACCTCATTACCAGCCCTTAGTCCTGTCTATGCATTTCTCTTTATCTGGGATCTTGCTTTTTATGTACAGCTTTGAATTACTTTCCAGTGTCTGTTCCCTTCATTCCTAGCATTTGTATAGCTTTTGTGCTTAGAAGCACTTCTATAAATGTTGTCTTCTGGGCAGTAGCTCAGAACCTGCTGCCCCACCCCACCTGGTAAAAACAGGGCTGGTCTGAGGTGTGGTAGGACAGCCTCTGAGATCAGCTGCCAGACCTCCCCCAGAGCAGAATGGCCCTCATGGACAGATGGGGCCTTGGGAAAGAGCTGTTTGGATGGCTGCAGCAGCTGGGAGGGGCTGTCTTGGTTCTCTTTTCTCTCTTGTACTCATTTACCATGTGGCATTGGTCAGGTTAGGCTCTCCTTGCCCTTGGTTTCACGCTTGTAACACACAGAAACTGGCCTCCCTACTGGCCACCCAGCTCGGAAAGTGCATGGGCGCGTTTACTTGATGATGTGGGACGGGCGTGCTCGAGGGGCTGGCAGGCAGCCTCCTGGCCTGTCCTGGGTGTGTCCTTTTCATGGGGCAGGGACAGAGGCAGGGAGAAGCTGGGCGGTGTATCAGGTGAGCTTGGACTGCGCAGTTTCTTCCCACAGGTTCATCAGAGTTCACGCTTGTGGACGGAGAACTTTTCTCGCGGGAAAGCGAGATTGTCCACGAGCTTGATTTTAGCGAGATGAGGAGAGGCCTCCCTGGGAGGTGGAGAAATAGAAAAGGTGTCATATTTAGATTCAGGCACACCTAGTCTTACCTGTGCACTTTTCTGGGCTCAGAGCTCTCTGAGCCCTCCTACGGCCACCGGGGGTAAGAATTCCACGCAGGTTCAGAGGAGCACGTGGAAGATGCCCAGCATTGGGGGACAGTTGATGAAGTGCCGCTGCTCTGACTGATGACTGTCTCAGGAGTGTCCCTGGGAGGGTCTTTTTTTAACGTAACCTTCTCCCAGCTTACCAACCCAGGCGCTGAGGTCTGTGCCTTCCTGATGAGTCAGCCCACAGGGGGATCTGTGTGCCTCTCTTCCAGGGGAACGCTGAGATCGTCAGCTCGGTAATGGGTGGCAGACTACGGGTGGTCACTCACTGCAGAGTAATTCCCATGGATCCCTGTGGCTGTCCTGACACCAGTTAGAGGAGCCTTCAGACTGTGATCCTTGGTTTGGCCGCAGCTCTTCAAGCGCTGAGTTACTATGAGGATCAGGGCTGCCCTTCCCAGTGTCCTTTTGGTCAGCTGGCCCCTCCCTGGGCTGGGACTTGGGGTAGAGACTCCGAGTAGGAGGTTGTTGTTAGATGCCTCTCAGTCGCCGGTTGACTCCCGGCCACAACCCCGTGTGTTAGAGTAGATCTGCTCCATAGGGTTTTCTTGGCTGCAGTCTCTCCTATTTGTGAAAATCTGCACGACAGAACAGACACCCGTTCAACAGTTTTCACATGTGCAGTTTTGACTCTTAACCTTTATGGAAGCAGATAGCCAAGCCTTTCTTCAGCGGTAATTCTGATTCAGATAAACGAACCCAGAGCCGCAGGGCCTAGCTTGTCGCTGCTGATTACTCGCGGATGGAGGGGTTATCGTTGGCCGGAGCAGTGTTGCTTTTCAGACTTCCTGTCCACTCAGAAGGGCTAGTTGGGGCCAGGAAATTCTCGAGGACCCGTTTCATTTAAAACAATCCCACTTAATCACTCATGATGCCTGCAGGGCAGGGACAGCACTGGCAGGTGATGAGGTAGGCGATGGGACAGGCCTGGTGGCGTCCTGTCTTCTCACCTCAGCTCTCCCTCCTTTGCAGCAACAGCTCTCCGACCCACCCAGTGGAGGCCCTGCCCCTGGGCAGTGACGTAAGTGTTTGCAGCGGGGCTCTGGGGCTGACTGTCCCTTCGGGTCCCCATGCGGCCGCTTCAGGACCTCTTCTCTCTGGCCTGCAGCACCTCCTCCCGTCTGCCTCCATCCAGGACGCCCAGCAATGGCTCCACCGCAACCGTTTCTCCCAGTTCTGCCGGCTCTTCGCCAGCTTCTCGGGTGAGCTCCTCCCACTGTGCTGGGAGCCACGTTCAGAAGCCAGCACCCTCCTGGGTGGCCCCACGGCCCTGAGGGCTGTGCTTTGTACAGAACAGAGTAGCCCCCTCAGTCAAGTGCTGGAGACACAGATCGTGCCCCTCCAAGTCCTCCGTCCAGTGGGGCTTTAGGGAGACAGTCTACGTGACTCTTACCTAAGTAGGTGGGCTCTGGTCTACCTGGGAAGGACCCCCCGCCCCCCCCAGCCAAGCGGGGTGGCGCACAGTGGGTGGGGCTTCCACACATTTTTCCTACCAAAATGTTGCTCATCACACGGTCTCTGGAGTCATGACCAGGAGATGGAGTCGAAGCTACAGCCGAGGAGGGAAGCAGTTCTTCCCACTTGGAAAGGGTGTGAAGCCCTTGCTGACTGGCCCTTGAGACAGAAGGCCTGAGCTGGGGCCGGGGGCACAAGGGTGAACGGAGCAGCGCATCTTGCCATCAGAAGAGTCAGTCCAGAGTGACAGGGAGGAGACATCTGTGCATTCAGATTTGATCAGAACCTTCACCCTCACTACAGAGAGAGAGAGAAATGGCCAAGAACCAAATGACATCAGAGGAGACGTCAGAGCTCGGTGATTGGTGCTCCCAGAGTGAGCAGGACGGACAAGCGCTTATAGAAACTGATAGGTCCGCGCTGCCCGTGCCTCCCCTCCACCCCCCGACCCCGCCTGGTACTTTTACTGACATACAGTGTGCGGGCACTTTTCTGCAGCGTAAGCGTACAATGTGCTGTGTGTTCACGCTGAGCGCACCTGTGTCACCAGCCCCCAGAGGCCCGTTGTGCCTGTCACGCCCCCACCTCAAGGGTAGCCACCCTCCCGACTGTGCACAGCACAGCTACATTTTGCTTGGTTGATGAAATTGATACTTGAAGGACAGCAGGGTGGAGGGAAGGCAGCGCCTATCCATTCTGTCACCTCAGCACTTTTAAGAGCTTCCTCTGTTAGCGGTGGGGGGTGTGGCGGGGTTAGGTGGTGGTCCTGCCCTCAGGAGCGTGCAGCTTCGAGTCAGCACAGACACCCCACACCAGCAGTCTCCATTCTCAGTACAGCACGATGTGTCTGACGGAGGAAGCTCAGAGGGGGCCTGATCTGGACTGGACAGGGGAGGAGGGCAGAGGCGGCCATGGCTTTAAGAAGGGTGGTCAAGGTCAGCCTTACTGAGAAGGGGTCATTGAGCAGAGGCTGGACAGGTGGGGAGTGAGCCACGGGGGTATTTGGGGAAGAGCTTTCCCGGCCGAGGGGACGTTTGAAGGCTGCAGTGTGAGCGTGTGCCTGTGTGGCTGTAGAGCAGAGGAGACCACCGTGATGGGGGCGGAGTGGACCACGGGAGGAGGGGAGGCGGAGAGGCAGCGTGGACCACGGGCTGGTCACTGGGCCATTGTAGAGCAGTGTGAGGACTTGGCTCTTACTCCCAATGAAAAGGCAAGGGTTGTGCACACAGACCTGTCCCTAAGGCGTATCATTCCTGTGGCAAGAGAGAGAGGATGCAAAGTGTGGCTTTCGGCCATGTGGCCTTTGACAGGTTCTAAGCAGAAGAAGACTGATGTCATTTTCGGACCTTCGAGGATCCTGGTGGGCATTTTGGAGTCTGCAGACTCTTTGTACTTAGAGGAAAAGACAGCACACACCTCTTTAGGCTTACAGCTCTTTTCAGGGACCCTGGGCTCTCTTTCTTCTTTGACCCACAGTTCTCGTCTGTCTCTTTGATAGAGCCATCTGCCAAGTTTCTTTAACCATGAGGTCAGTCCTCCTAGGCTGCTGGTGGGATGTACATTGATACGACACTTTGGAAGACTGTTTGCAGTACCTACCAAAGCCAAGGTGATCTAACAGAACATGGAAATAATCAATCATTAATATCACATGCAAGTAAAAATTTGCTGAAGATCATTCAAAAGTGGTTGCAGCAGTACATTGATAGGGAACTGCCAGAAATTCAAGCTGGTTTCAGAAGAGGGTGTGGAAGGAGGGATATCATTGCTGATGTCAGATGGATCTTGACTGAAAGCAGAGGATACCAGAAAGATGTTTACCTCTGTTTTATTGACTATGCAAAGGCATTCGACTGTGTGGATCATAAGAAATTATGGATGACATTGGGAATTCCAGAACACTTAATAGTGCTCACGACGAACCTGTACATAGATCAAGAGGCAGTCATTTGAACAGAACAAGGGGATGCTGCATGGTTAAAAGTCAGGAAAGGTGTGTGTCAGGGTTGTATCCTTTCACCATACTTATTCAGTCTGTATGCTGAGCAAATAATCTGAGAAGCTGGACTATATGAAGAAGAACGGGGCATCAGAATTG